TAATTTATTGAAACAGATGACTTATCTTAAATGAACAGTAACAGACAAAATTAATAAAACGTACGCTTCCAAATCATTATCGCCGATATTTTAGGAAGTATTTAAAAAAACTATTATTAATTAATACGTACCAAAAGCATTAAATACCATTTAATCAATGTAGAATAATTTAGATTAAAAAATATATGATTATTGTTTATATTATGATGACACGTGGTTTCGATTGGTCAATTTGAATGTATTTCGGCATTCCAATTTAATCAGTGTGGTTTGAAAAATATCAAACCGTTCATGGGATTGTGTTGGGCTTAGATTAGTCGGATCTAGAGGGCTACCAGGTTCATGGGATTGTGTTGGGCTTAGATTAGTCGGATCTAGTTCCGATTCAACACATATGCCTTTCAGTATTTACAGTTTGATTACGTGTTAGGCGACTCTGAGTTGACGTTGGCATTCAAGCTAGAGAGAAAGAAGTACCGATCATGCCCAGGATCCAAAAGCTCCACCACCGCAACTTGGGATTATTTTGAATTGACTTGGCTGGGGTTTTGCGTGCAGAGTTGATCGATAACTTTTTCAATGGAAAGCAATATTTTTAAAACAAAAGTTATGAAAACCCCGATTAAAGAAGTTGATAATATAAAATTTATATAGAAAATTGAAAATTAATTAATTATATTTGATTTTTTTAAATAATTTTGTTGTTATATATGTATATATTGAATTTATATAATAATTTATAAATATAGTTAATGATTATAAAATTATTTAAATGATTTTGTATCATGGACCTCTTTTAACCATTCAACATTCTAATTTTATTGTAACAATTACCAAATATTTATATTTTATTTTGCACTATATCATTAAAGTCTCTTAATCTTTCTTACCACTTAATTAAGTCTTCATTTCTTCAAAGACTTGAATAACATTAAATACATTTGAAAGAAAGTCAAAGAAATAAATATTTGAAAAGTTACTTTTTATTTTTGTCAAAGAAGATAAACAATATAATAAATGAAGGTGATGCCAAATTTTAAGTCGTTGAAAGTATGCGACAAAATTCAATGAAACATATGATAAAAAAAAGGGTGTTATTTGCACCCCTACCTATTAAAAAATAAAAAAAGATCTGATAAATAATATTAAATGACCTAATTTTTTTAAAATGACATCAATTCTTATTTCTTTCTCTCTATTATCCCCCCCATATCTTTTACTTTCTTTTTTGTTTTTAATTAATAGACAACAATTATTATTAGTCTGTAGTAATTTTAATTTGTATTATATATTAATCAAATTTAAAATCAATAAACTAGAAAGACAATATAAAAAATAATATATAATTTATTTTATAATTTACAATTTTTAACCATATGCATATAGTCGTATGGTTTGTGATGTATAAAGTTCGAATAAAAACTTAAAAAATTCATACTAACCTTAATTTTATTTTATCAATCATTAATCCTTTTACAACTTTAAAAATTATTATACTAATCCTTAATTTATTTTTATTGTTTTTTATATTTGTATTCTTGTTTAAAAAAACTATATGTTTTTTTTATCTTAGATATTAAATATTAATACAAAAAAAATAATTATAAACAAAAAATATTTAATATAATAATATTACAATTTCACAATAGTAATAATATAATAATAAAATAAAAAATAATATTAATAATGAAAATAAAAATCAATAAAAAATAATTAAAATACAAATAAAATTGGATGATGATGTAATCCTTAAATTATAATGAATATTATATAGGAAGGGGTGTCTTTAACGTATAGGTAGGAGTAGGGCTGTAAACGAACCGAACGTTCAGCGAACCGTTCGTGAACCGTTCGGCGGGAAGTTCGTTTATGTTCGTTTATTTAATAAATGAACGAACATGAACAAATTTTTTCGTTCGTTTAGTTAAACGAACGAACATGAACAAGAGTCTCGTTCGTTCATTTACGTTCGTGAACGTGCGTTCATTTATGTTCGTTAACGTTCGTTCGTTTATATTCGTTTATTTATTAATTTTAATATATAATTTTTATTTATTTAGTTTGAATTTAAATTTTAAAACATTTTTATTTATTGGGCTTTTAAAAGAGTTTAGGCTTTTTAATATTTGGGCTTTTTGTAGGGTTTTAAAACATGTTCGTTTATGTTCGTTTAGGCATGTTCGTTTATGTTCGTTAGGCTGTTCGTTTATGTTCGTTTAGGCATGTTCGTTTATGTTCGTTTATGTTCGTTAGGCTGTTCGTTTATGTTCGTTTAGGCATGTTCGTTTATGTTCGTTAGGCTGTTCGTTTATGTTCGTTTAGGCATGTTCGTTTATGTTCGTTAAGATTGTTCGTTTATGTTCGTTCGTTTACGTTCGTTTAACTTGTTAACGAACGAACATAAACGAACACGAACACATCGTATTTCTAAACGAACGAACATAAACGAACACGAACACATCGTATTTCTAAACGAACGAACATAAACGAACACGAACACATCGTATTTCTAAACGAACGAACACGAACACAATTATTTTCGTTCGTTTACCGTTCGTGTTCGTTCGTTTGTTCGGTTAAGTTAAACGAACGACCACGAACAAGCCTCCGTTCGTGTTCGTTCGGTTCGTTTACAGCCCTAGGTAGGAGTGCAAATATCTCGACGCTAAAAGAACCAGGAAATTAAGTTTTTTATCCATGTGGTTTGTTAAAAAAAATTGTTTTCATAATTTAAAGTTTACGATTTTTATATTTACGATTTGTAATTCATTGTGCTTTTCATCCATGAACATAACTCATATTTTTAAGTACAATGACGAAAAAAAAAATTATCACGGGGACCAAAACAGCAATAAGTTATAAATTATGTGAACGAAATTAACAATGAATTATAAACTACATGAACAAATTCACGGTTTCTAAACCACAAACACGGAAATTGTAATCTTTAACAAACCCCATGAACGAAAAATGTAATCTTTAACAAACCCCATGAACGAAAAATGTAATCTTTAACAAACCCCATGAACGAAAACTGTAATCTTTAACAAACCCTGTGAACGAAAACTGTAATTTACTCTTGTATATCCGGAATGGTCAAAACATTCGAACTCTAATTTCCGTTTTGGCAGAATCATGCCAACAAGACTCATGCAAGTTGGACAAAATCATTCAAAAAACAATAACGTAGAATAATATTGAACAGAATAAAGTAAAGTGCTGAATGACGTTACAATATGCAAAACAAAAAAAAAACAAACAAAATTCAAGCGAATCGTAAGGAAGACGACGAGTAACAAAATCACGAGCAACAGAAGAACGGAGCAACAACAAAGCCACATAAAACCCATCTAACCAAGGGCGGATCCAGCCTTTTAGCACCGGGGAGAAAGGCCCTCAGTCAAAAACCAAAAACCTTTGTTGACTAGCTTAAATTTTCTATTTTCACTCTCGTCTTACATGGTTTCTCCCCGAGTCCCATATGGCCATATGCTTCCCTCCCCCAAGTCCCATCTAACGTGCCCCCACCCCATTAATTTTCTGGATCTGCCACTGGATCTAACCACATGAGTTGCAACACTAATCCATCCATGCATAGTTGAAAACATCATCATCGTCTTTTGTGGAGTAGTCTTTAAAGGATATTTTCGTAAAATACGTTATTGTCTACAATTTTCTCAAAAATAATAAAATATTATAAACATATTTAAATACACCAATATTTACTCATTTCTTTATCACATACATCAATATTAAGGTTTACTTTTTGCATTTTTAATACATAATTTGACATCAATATTTACATTAATAAAAATTGAAAAGAAAGAGATAAAAGATATTAAAAACGGAAATTGACCAAAATAGTCGATATATTCGACCAAATTTGAAAAGAAATATTTTATGCAAATGAAGATTCTTACATGAATTACGTTAGTATTTTATTTTAAATTAGAAAAATAAGCATAGTTTTCCAGTTTAACTTATATTATAAAACATTTTGACAAAAACTCTTAAAAACCATCTTTTATACATGAAGTATTGTTTATTGATGCATATTACTTAACATTCAATACTACAAATAAAATGTGCACAAGTGCAACTTATTAAGTTCCATATTTGAATTCGTGTAACTAACTGTAGATAAATATAATTAAATACAAGATAAAATTCTCACTTTACGTATATCTAAAATATAATTAGAATAATTATTGAGTTTTAACATAATACTTAGTTATTATTCTTATAAAATTATATTATCAAATTATAAAAAATTACTTTATCATTAAACCTAAATTAAATTATAATAAAAAATTGAATTAAATAAATTACACAGAAAAATGAGAACTTTTTATGATACCTTCAAAATTTTATTTAAAAAAAAACATTATTGCTTGCTCAAAACTATATAAATCTATATTATAATATCGACATAGACATTAAAATCGATATATACCTCACTGTATTGTGCGAGTTCCTTCGTAGTTTTCACAAATACATAAAATATCTATATTACCTTACAAACCAGATTTTCAAAAGTCTTAAAAACAATTTTTAATACACAAAGTACTATACATTTATGCACAAAGTCTTAAAAACAACTTATAATGCATTATGTATTATTACTTTATGCATTCAGTCTTAAAATCTCTTAATCTATAATTAGAATAACACATAGTATAAGTTACCAATGTATATTATTACCTTCTTTTATATTTTCCCAAAATACTTTTGACACATTTCACTCATGCCTTCATCTTCTCATACCTATGTGTTTTCTCCTCATCCCCAAGATGAATTTTATACCTTTTAACGAGTAATTGCACTCATTTTTAGTTATAAGCTTATTAGAAAATTTGATATCCCACCACATTACGCAGATACATAACTTGTTTCTACAAACTCAAAATTTAATTGAAAAATGGTTAAGAAGTCCGATCGAATATTTTGATCAATTTCCCTGTAAAACTAAAATAAAATTCATTCAAGTCGGCTTCTCCACGCTCCCCTTAGGAAACGTTTTCTGCTGAAGGGTTCAAGAACCCCACGGTTCTTTGTTCGTCTCTCCATATCTTGTTTGTGCAAGTCGCATCGGTTGACGGTTCCGCCTCTAAACATCTTGATTCACGGTTCGTTTTTCTCTTCTCCATGTTACAGTCTACTTTCTTATTAAAATTAGGGTTTCTGTTTGTGTATTTTTGAGATTTGATGACATACATCTGTTTTGATCGGTGCTTTGTTCGATTTTAATCCAATCTGTGGGTATGTGCTCGATTTTAACAGTTTTTGTTCATGCAATTGAACATACTAGCAGAAAAGAGAAAATTCAAGTAGAAATCATATCTGAATTTGAAGTTCTGGGAAGCCTGTATTGGGCATTTTGCCCCTTTCAATGGATTATTCGATGATATGTTTTTGAAGACTCCTATATCTTTATATACGTTGATTCCCTTCTGGATACGGCAGCCAATAAATGAGATGTACCAGTGTGCACAGCTACACCTGAGATTACATTCTCCCTCACCTATTTTTGAACTTGAGATTGGCTCTGTTTTGTGTTGGATGCCAATGTCAAATATTAATTTCGAATTTAAATCAATTTCTTTTTGATATGATGTAATAATTTCGTGCTTTATGAATAACTGGTTTTATAACCGTGGCTCATATACTTGTTATTTTTGAAATTCGAAGCTTCTTTTTTAGACAAGAGGGAGTAAATGGATTAATCCGACCTCTTTGACCCATTTCAAACCCTATTAAAAAAGTATCCAGCTGAACCCATTTTGACCCATAATACAATCTGGCCAACCAGCCAGTGTTGCCATCTCTAACAGTAATCGTGAATTTGCAACCTAACTATTTTTCGTTTCTACATTGCATGGGTTGATGTTTGATGATCTATTATTTGTACAATCAATTTGAACACGATGGCGAACACCTAGTTTCATTACAACCAATCTGCGATGATCTATGGTTGCAACCAGCTTAGCAACGTGTAACAAGATGCATCTGTAGCTAATACTCAAATTTCTAATGGGATATCTTAAAGATATTTTCTACTCTTGAGTTTTGGAATGATTGTTACACCTAGTGTTAGGACTTGTGTTTTCTCTTATAGACTCATGTGGCCTTGGAATCATCAGTCATTACCATTCTATGTGGGATAAGGAAGCCTTTTTTTTAGTTTATATACGGCAAATGAACTCATGCACCCTCCTCACCTTTTGTGAAGTTTGAACCCTTGATCTTTTGGGAGGTTGGGCTCTACCAGTAACCTGGGTACCGCTAGGGTAAAGGCCATTTGCTAGGAATAAGTGAGCCTTAAGGGAACACAAGATGAATGCTGCAAGGAACACAAAGGAGATTGAGAGAAAGCTCTATACCTTTATATGCCTTCTTGGTATCCATGTTGGATAATTCCTAATGAAGGAGATCTCCATAGTTTATTGGAGCCTCTACCACTACAAGGAGCATTCTAGATCTAAGAGCATTCTAGAGCTAAGAGCATTCTAGATTTACAACAAAAATATCTAGCCTACTAGAAGTATCGAGATTGCTTTAGAGCACTCTACGAAATATTACAAGAAACATAGGAGACCTTAAATCTTATGGAAACTCGCCAATCCCCTAGATAATTCTATTACTTCAAGGAAAAAAAATGCACAACTGAGAAAGCAACAAATTCCGCACTCCATGTTGTTTTGGTTTCTTAAGCCACAGAGTTCATCTTATGGTACACACTAGTTTGTGAATTCATATTATTCTCTGTTGAATGTACATGAAGTAAGCCGTCATATGCTCTTCGATTTCCTACTATTCTTAGTATTAATTACCACTTATTTATGCTGATAATATAAAGTACATCACATGTTGCCTTCAACTTATCATTGTATCATGACTCAGTTAATATATGATAAAACCTTGTACCAATGGATGCAGTCATGCATATTTATGTGACTCTAACCTTTATTTTGCATGCCTAGAATGTCATTGCAAATCTTACTTCCTCATTAGTAAGGATCTTATTATTCTATGTTCTTGGATTTTTTTTTGTTTTGTTCTACATTAAAACCATATAGATTTATTATTAAACTAACGGTCATTTTCTTCTATTGGTTGGTGACAGGTTGGCAATCTTGCATGCATTTATTTCTCTAATACATTTTTGTACTACCCAAGCCTAGCTAAGTGCTTAGTTTCTTTTGGGATTGATATTTAGTCATTCTAAATATGGAGCAGTCTGATACGAGACGTGGCAAAAGTGTCGAGATTAGGGATCAGGACGACTCTCCAATGGGTGAGAGGTGGAAGGGAGGATATGATCATGATGGCAATGATAAATCACGAGACCCAAAGCATCGTAGTAAGGAGAAAAGTAGGAGTAGTCGAAGAGAAGACAAGGATCACAGAAGTAGAGATCGAGAGAAGGCAAAAATCACTGATGCTTCAAAAGAGAGAGACAAAGAGTCTAAAGGTTATGTGAAAGATCATAATAGAGACCGACGAAAGGAAGATGGAGATGATCGTGAAAAGGATAGGACTAGAGATAAGGTTAAAGAAAATGATAGGGAAAAATACAGAGATAAGGATCGGGGCAAGCATAAAGATCGTGAAAAGGAGGTAGAGAAAGATAGTGAGCTAGGGCAGGATAAGGAGAGGGGAAAAGAGAAGAGCAGGGACAGAGAAAGGGGAACTGACAAAGGGAAAGAGAGGACAAGGGAAAAGGAGAGGGATAAAAACAAAGATAGGGAGAAAGAGAGAGAAACTCATGCGGACAGGGACAGAGAGAAAACTAGAGAAAGGGTGAGGGATGGAGATCATGATAAAGATAGGTCCACAGGGAGAGAGAAAGTGAGCGGGAAGCAACATGACGACGATCATGGTGGAAGTAAAGATCTGGGTAAGGAGGACAAGCTAAATTCAGATTCTGAGGATGGTCAGTACAGGGATACAAGTAAGCATGGTATAGGTTCTCACCGTGACAAAGATGCCACTAAAATTCTTAAGCATGAAGCCGATGCTGAAGGTGAATATGCAGGATCTCAGCAGTCTGCATCTGAACTTCAAGATCGAATTATGAGGTGAGCAACATCCATCATTAGTTCTGCATCTTCTATTTACCTTATTTTATAGTATGCAGCAACTATATCCACTAGATCCTTTCTGGTTTTAACAAAGCAAGTTCTCTTTTATGTTTTTGTCCTTCCTGTTAAGAAATCTGGTTTTATTTGCTCCAAAACAGGTTTTGTGCGTAGTGTTATGAAGTAGATCTCTTAAAGATACATACGCGAAGTAGTAGGGTCTGAACTCTACATCAGTCTACGATCATGTTTTATGTAGAGTATACTGAACTAGATATCTTTAGAATACACATGCAAAATAGTTGGTCTGCACTATATAACTGTATACGGGTTCAAAAGAGGTTTTCTAATAGTAAGTTAGGAAATTTCATGATTCTATAAGAATATGTTTTCAGAATACATGTTAGTTTGGTCTTTACATTGAAAGGAAAAATGTTTCATTTTGTAACCATATAATTCCAAATAATTTATCTAAAAATGAGTTTTATAACTCATGTATCTTTAATAGTCTTTTGGTCTAACTCATTAGCATCAGGGTTTTAAGAATAAGGCATAGCAGATAAGGGGCAAACATTGGCATCATAATTTTCTGTTGCAACACTTCTTCTGTATGTACAGGGACAAGGTGAGCACTATCCGTGCTATGGCACCTTGTGTATGTTGCTGCCATGACAAATGGTGTAAAGATTGGACCTTTTGATGAATAAGTTTTTATTTGCTTTCCTTGGAGCCTTTGGGTTTATTTATTTATTTATTTTTTATGAAAGCTTGTTAGGCCTGTTGTGCAACTAATAATAACAAAAAAGGAAATAGATCAAAACTATCCAGGGAATCAACTTCAACAAATTTAGCCTCTTGAGGGTCGTATGACTAATGTCTACTATTGAGTGACAATCTCGTGGCTTTTACTGCTTTGCGTCTGTTGGATTCTTTGTGTCAATGACTCTGATTTCCTCACACCTTCCTTTTTGCTCATCTCATGCTGTATTTCTTTCTTGCCTCTGCTTCATCTTTCTTCTGCCAAGGTTCCCCTCCCAACATTTCCCTTCCCTGGCAGTTGTCTTCTTCCCGTTGCATCTTTCTTCTTTCGATTATTAGTGACTCCATCATGCATTTATTTATTTTGCCACAATTTTTTTTATCTTCCTTCACATTTTCACAATCAAGTAATGAAACATTTTTATAATTATTATCATTGTGCATTTTTATACTTCTGTAAGAATACGAAAGCACCACCTTTCTTATTAATATAAGAAAGCTGAATTGAAACTTAGAAGATAGCAGCAGCAGCTTGATGAGGGAGATAGTTTTATCATTGTATTGCTGTTTTATGCATCAGGCTAGTAAACAATGATTTAGTATTGGACCTTTTTGGTTATCTTATAATATAGTAATGATCATGGATATTTGAGATTTTTTGCTTATATGAGTTCTTTCAGTAACTCATCGGGTTGCTTTTCTGAGTTAAACTAATTGGTAAAACTTGAAAGATATGACGTTTGTTTGTATTTTTGAATCATGGGTTGGACTACTACTACCATTATTGTTATTATTATTATATTTTGTTGGTTTCACATGGATTCGTTATGATCGATTGTATTGTTATTTGCTTTTCATAAACATTTTTGGAATTTCTGTTTTGGCTTTTGAAATTGGTGCATTGCTTGCCATGACTCATTTTAGGTTGGACCGATGCTTGTGTCTATTGTACAACCACTATTAAAAGGATAAATAAAGTACATGGTCAATGGTCCAGACTAGTACATGCTAGTTGTCTTGAAGTGACTTGATACTTTATTGAATTAGATCAAGAGTGTAGTGGGAAAGCCAGATTTATTTATTAACCATCAAGGAGACACCAAAATTGGACCACACAAATTAGGAAGGGGCATTCTGAAGTGGAAGAAAGGGAGTAATCAGTTCTGATTTTTTTACAATCATGGGGGTCCAGCCAGCTTACGCGCACCTTGACTAATCCCATGGGGCCCTGAAGTTAACAGCCAGTAAAACCTCCAGTGTCCTTGAGGGACTCGAACTGATGACCAATGGGGATCAAACCCAAGGTCTGTCCACTTGAGCTACCCCAAGTTTTTGTATTTATTTATCTAGAATCTTGAAAGTAACGTCGTATGAATGGTTTCTTAATGCTGGGTTGTTCTGAGTAGTATAATTTCATTACGATAGTATACAGTGTTTTCTTCTTTGTGGGGCTTAGTGCTTTAAAAGATGGTTCAGTTTTCTATTCAGAGTGTGCTTAAGAAGTGTTCAATATCTGTCATTCTTCTGTAGGATGAAGGAAGAACGATTGAAAAAAAAGTCAGAAGGCGCTTCTGATGTATTATCGTGGGTTAGTAAAAGCCGAAAGCTTGAGGATAGGAGGAATGCTGAAAAGGAGAAAGCATTGCAACGCTCAAAGATGTTTGAGGAGCAGGTTGGTTGGATTCTTCTGACATGTTTCCATGTGTGAGTTAAGACTGATTTATCTGTTGTGCATCTGGTTGATATGAATTGTGAAATTCAGGACAATGTCACTCAAGGAGAGGATGAAGATGAAGTGGCAGCTTGTCCGCATACATCTCGTATGGTTCCTTCTCTAGTACATTTATATACATCACTATTGCTACCTATTCTTGATTGTTGGATGCTCAGTTGTTCCATTGTTTACTCTTTGATATGAATCCACAATGTGATATTGCTAGTTTATGGAGACACTATTTTGTAATATTTAAAATATGTACCATCTATATCATCAATGTTACATGCAACAAAAGGGTGTCACTGATTGCTCAGGTGATCATGCTTCTTTATATATATAGGGGAGGGATCAAATGCAAACCAAGCCATTTGTACAAACTGTACACACTGTCAAGTTAATATATTTTGTTTCATATAATTCTTTTCTTGATGAAATTGTTTCATATATTTTTTGTTTCTATGTAAAATGAAATTGTTTCATGTATTTCTCATTTTGATGAAATTTGTTTTCTAAAATTAATATAATGAAAATAGTAATGCCCATAATTAACGCCCTCCACAATAAAAATGACTAATCAACCCTCATAATTAACAAAAAGTGAAAAAAAAAATGATTTATGCATTGGTTTGCATTTGATCCCTCCCCTATATATATAGAGAGAGGGAGGACAAATCAAATACAAACCATGCACATGTTACAAACTGTACAAACCGATTAATTAAGATATTTATGGAAATAATGAAGGTTCATTTATTATGATTTGAATATTTGTGGAAGATGATTAAAGTTCATTAATTTTGATCAACAATATATATTAGGAAACAATCTATACTTCCATGAAACCAGATATTCGTTAGACTAGATGGACGGTTCATATTGGTTTGTATGGTTAGTAACCTTTGCATGGGACACCTGTGGTACATCTAATCTAAGATTGTACTCTTGTTTATGAATACTAGTGTATCTTTTGAGATTGTCTTAATGCTTCCTTCGAATTATGTGGGCAGATGACCTTGCTGGGTTTAAAGTTCTTCATGGCCTTGACAAGGTGATTGAAGGTGGCACAGTTGTTTTGACACTGAAAGATCAGAGCATACTCGCTGCTGGTGACATCAACCAAGGTAAATTAGTTTCACTTGTTAATTGTTCTTCAGTTTCTTTCTCTGTTATCTTTAATGGTTTTCTGATGGACCCAGATTTCCTAAGGTGACTTTACATTGTACCAGAGATTGATATGCTTGAAAATGTGGAGATCGGTGAACAAAAGCGGAGAAATGAGGCTTACAAGGCGGCAAAAAAGAAATCTGGAGTTTATGATGATAAGTAAGTTCACTAATTGAGTTTTTGTGGTTTCTTAGTAATTCTTTCAGAGGCTAATCTTGCTTTCTGGTCATTTTGCCTTGCAGGTTTAATGAAGAGCCTGGAATTGAAAAGATTATGCTTCCACAATATGATGATCCTGTTGTGGATGAGGTGAATATTTCAACTTGATTCATATGTCCAGAGATACATTTTTATAAATTCTTTACCATATACTTTTTTCCAGGGTGTAACTCTTGATGAAAGAGGGAGCTTTGGTGGTGAAGCTGAGAAAAAATTGGAGGAGGTATTATTTCATATTTTGCTGTTCGATCCTTGACTTTTGCAAAGGGGTAATAGATAAGTAGCGCTTACTCTAACTTGCAGCTCCGGAGAAGGATAGATGGTGCGTCTGTGAACACTCGCTTTGAAGATCTTACCTCATCTGGGAAGGTCTCAACAGACTATTATACTAGTGAAGAGATGCTAAGATTTAAAAAGCCCAAGAAAAAGAAAGCACTGAGGAAAAAAGATAAGTTGGATATTGACGCACTTGAGGCAGAAGCTCGGTCTGCAGGGTTAGGTACTGGAGACCTTGGTTCACGAGCTGATGGAAAAAGGCAGGCCCTTAAAGAGGAACAAGAAAGATCTGAGGCTGAAAAGAGAAGCAACGCATTCCAGTCTGCATATGTCAAGGCAGATGAAGCATCTAAAGCACTGCGAATGGAACAGACTGTTAGTCTTCAAAAGGAGGATGAAGATAATCTAGTATTTGGCGATGATGATGATGATCTCCATAAATCATTACAAAGGGCAAGAAAAGTAGCTCTTAAGAGGCAAGATGATGGAACATCGTCTGGGATCCAGTCAATTGCTGTACTTGCTTCTTCCACTACTAAGAACTCAGATGCAGACTCTGGGAACCGAGTATCTGGAGAGTCACAAGAAAACAAGGTTGTTTTCACAGAGATGGAGGAGTTTGTATGGGGTCTTCAGCTTGATGAAGGTATGCTAGCGGCAAGCATTTAAGTCGTGTATACAATAATGTTGTATAATGCAGTTGCTTTGAAAGTTTTATCATATTTACAATTCTGTTTATGCTTTTCAGAAGCTCATGACCCTGATGCTGAAGATGTTTTTATGGAGGAGGATGTAGCACCGGCATCATCAGATCAAGAACAAAAAGGTAAAGATGGTGGCTGGGAAGAGGTGAAAGATATTGTTCAGGATGAAAAGATGGCAGATGAGGAGGAAGAGGTCAAACCAGATAAAACAATTCACGAGAATGCACTTGGAAAAGGGTTATCTGGTGCACTCCAGCTACTTAAGGACCGGGGCACTCTTAAAGATACAGTGGAATGGGGTGGCCGAAATATGGACAAGAAAAAGAGTAAGCTTGTTGGCCTTGTTAACGATAATGATGATAAAAAGGAGATACGTATTGAGAGGACAGATGAATATGGAAGAATTGTAAGTGTTCACTGCAACCACTAGAGGCTTTCATATTTTAATTAAATTTCTTGATACTATAGTTATGCTATCTGCTCTCAAGATGTTAGTTATGCATGTGAAGTATGGTATTGAACTCAATTACTTTCAGCGAAACCCTAAACAATACTCCAGGTCTTTGAGTTATGACAATTCTATGGCAATTTGAAACTTTGATGATTCTAACGTTCTTGCTTGAATGAACAGTTGATATATCAATGCTAGGTTGGTTTTGGTTCGTGATGACCATCCTTAGTTGTAGGTTTTTCTATAACTTCCCATAAATTAGATGTTCTTCTTTGTAAAGGATCGACGGGGGTTTAATCTAGTAAATTGTGCATTGAGAAAAGAATCCATTGAACTAATTGAAAGATAAAATCAGCAAATAAAATAAGTGTGACTCGAGGATATTTGTGTATTTGGATTAAAATGTGTGTCAATCTGTCACGTGCCATGCTTTTCTGTCAATGATGAGAGGTTGGTTCACATTCCTACCACCAAAAGTTTTTAAATATGAAATTTACCTCACTATTTTCCATTCTTCAAGATGCGTCTTTTTCTTATGCATGTAGGCAGTCCGTAATACAGTTATAATGAACTATCTTATTCATGACCGAGGTTCTTTGCTTTTACCAGTTGACTCCTAAGGAGGCCTTTAGGCTGATTTCACATAAATTCCATGGGAAGGGACCTGGCAAAATGAAACAAGAAAAGCGTATGCGACAATATCACGAGGAGCTGAAGGTGAAGCAAATGAAAAATTCAGACACACCGTCATTTACTGTCGAGAGAATGAGGGAAGCTCAATCTAGGATGAAGACACCTTATCTTGTTCTCAGTGGCCACGTCAAACCAGGGTACTACTGACCTTTCCTCTTTGCATTTTTTTAGTTATGTTTTTCGGTTTGGTATAATGGTATATCCGAGTCAGTAAAGTTATTCTAGAGAAAATACGATCATGATTAACTACAAGCTAAAGATAACTGCTAGATTTGTAGACATGTGCTTAAAGCTTTGAAACCTGTCCACTCCTCTTAGTTTGTCAAGTCCAAGAACCTCTTAGTGCCACCTTGTCCTTTCTTCTCTTATACATGTATGCATACATGTATGTATCTGCATATTGACTCCTTTATGTTGCGTATCATTTTGATGCATTTATATTGCTGTCTTGAGGTCGTGGTGGTTGGATAAATGGTTGAGTTGTACTTTTTGTTGGTAGTTGTGTTTAGACTATAATGCATCGTATGCAAGTCAAGTGTGCTGTAGACAGTCAAGTCTCAAGTGTGTTGTAGAACTTGGAAAAGAAAATTGATAAAAACCAAATAAAAAAAACCTAGTCTATCCCACTTGAAAGCAGGGTCTAGGAGCGGTGGGGTATACGCAACTGTTTATGTGAAGACCCTCGGCTTCTCCAAAAATGAAAGCAAAAGGGAAAAGGAAAGGGAAGGGAAAGAAGAAAACCAATACTAGTAAATAGTAAGCAGCAGAAAGGGAAGGAAAAAAAAGTGCAATAGGCACCATGAAACATATCCAAAGTAAGGATACACACATCCCTCCATCTATCGTAAGACTCGGTCTCCGTATCTGTCCCTTCTTTCTATCACTCTCTAACTCCCATCTTCCTATCACAGTAGCTACAGATCCATACTCTAAATCTACTACCATAGTCCAGCCTCTTCAAGAACTCTTATCAGAAGTCACGTCCTCGGAATTTGTTAAAGCCTCCATGTCCATTCACTATTTCTCATTCCACGACTTCCTCGGCCTGCCCCTCTTTCTTGGCCCCTCGACCATCATACGTTGTGGACTTCTTGTCACTCAGCATTCTTATTCATGTTAGGTTATAAAGTTTCATGCTATGCTGCATGGAGGGTGAATAAGGTTTCTGTTCAGGCATGTATGTTCTCTTAACCTTTTTTGCTGATAGAAATATAGAATAATATTTTGGTAGAACTGTTCTTTTTGCATCTCAAAATGGTTAGGCGTTTTGTAGGTTCAGTTGTGTGATTTTGTTATTGGTTGAACTAGTCTCGTCTGGTCAACCTCAGACTTTACATGACCTTGCCAGAGTATGATTAATGAGGTTGTGCATAAGTTGGTTTGGACAAACAAAACCAAAAATCCTGACTGGAACTGGATGCTCCTGTTGTTAATCGACTAAGGGGTTGTTTGGTTCGTTTTCCATTTAGTCCTGTATGGATAAAGCTGTCTGTGTGGATTAATGTCCTTATTGATTTTGTTTGGGAGGGTTTTTTCATAGACAGAAGGAGCGTGCTTTTTATTGGAGGGACGGGTTTGGGAAAAACTTGGCTTTCTACATAAAGCTCTCCCCTAAAAGCTTAATTAATAAGTCACTCTTTATATCATTAAGTCACTACCACACGACTATGTATAAATAAGCTGTGAGTCCCATTAAGTTGCTAACAAACAGGCCCTAAAACTGAAACTAGACGAATTTTGTTTTGCTTGATTTTTCACAACACAAAATATATGATTATATATGTCTACCATCATGCTCTAGCAAGCATATCCTTCTATGGTTATGCATAATTCATACAGAATGTATCACGAGATCCTTAAATAATATAACCAAGTTTCCCCAAAAAAAACCCTTAATTGAATTTTGTTCAAAAAGTGGAACCTAATTGGTCGGCTGGTTTTCAGTTCTTTGTCTTCATGACAAGCCTTCCTAGTGGATATAAACATTGAAAAAACCCCGATAAATGAATTGACAGGACATTATTTTTCTGCTAATTGTTAGGAGTTTTTAATTTTTCTTCTTTATCAATGTTGTGAATTCCTTTAGGCAAACAAGTGATCCTAGAAGTGGTTTTGCTACAATGGAGGACTTCCCTGGGAGCTTGACACCCATGCTTGGTGACAGAAAGGTTTGTGCATCTCTTCTCACCATCTTTTCTGTTTGTAGCAAATAATTTTTTCTCCCCTTCGTTCACCATGTATTATAGTTGTTTGTTTTGATTTCTTGTGATTCATTTGTTCATTACGTAATAGATTCATTTGATGAATTTTGACATCTTCTGATCACTTTGTTCATCGTGTAGTAGATTCATGTGCTGAGTTTTGATTTCTTGTGATCCCTTTGTTCATCACGTAGTAGATTCATATGTGAATATGGATTTCCCTTGATCGCCACTTACTAGATCTATTTGATGAACTTTGAAATCTCATGATCAGTTTGTTGATTGTGTACTAGATTCATGTGCTGAGTTTGGATTTCTTGTGATCCCTTTGTTCATCATATAGCAGATTCATATGTGAATATGGATTCCCCTAGATCTATTTGATGGATTTTGATATCTTGTAATGTGAAACTATCACATTTATTTAATTCTCTCATATGCTATGCAAAGAGCTGCTACAAGTAAAGTTGTAATGAAGAAATATTGGAACACTAAAAAGCTCTTAATACATTCGGGTTTTTTTAGTTAAACATTATTCATAGGGCCTTTGTATTTAGGTGGTGTTTGGTTAAGAGGTATTGGGCAGTAATTAATGGAATTGAAAATAAAAGAAACTGATTGGTTTTATATAATATGATGGGACCGTTTCCCAGTAGCCCAAATTTTCATTCCAAGTTAAACTGAGGGAATGCAAATTCATTCCTCGTCATTTTTATTTTCATTTTCATTCCCCTGTCTGAACCAAACAATCCCCTAGGGACCGGATAAACTTATATTTGCATCTTATGGACCATGCGATTCTTCATCCTTTGTTAAATTTTCTCGGTTGTCACTTGTTTCGTCTTTTTCAATAAGCTTTGACTCATTGGTTAGTTAAATATTATGAACTTATGCAAGTCTTGGTACATAGGTTGGTTATGTGAATTCCGATTATTCACTTGAATGGTGATGAATGACACTTGTTTTCTCGTTCTTTCAGGTTGAACACTTCTTGGGTATAAAGCGGAAATCTGAGCCTGGCAATATGGGACCGCCAAAGAAGCCTAAAACCTGAATCATTTGTTAAAATACTAGCCAAGGTACCAGATACGCAGAAAATAGTTGAAGGTTTGAGTTGGTTTAGGTTGTAAGCCAAGCATCAAACATATTGAACGATCGCATTAAGACATGTTCTACCTTTGCGATTTTGTTGCTTTTTCATTGGGCGAAATACAATATCGAACGGCATCATATAAGGCATCGAGAAATGGCAAGCAACCGATGTGAAGAATTCGATTGCAGACTTGTTTTGAGAAGTTTCTCTTTAAGGTTTGCAAAGCCAAAAGTTTGTTCAAAGAGCCATAGATGACTTGGTTTTTTTTTTGTAACCAATGTATCAGAATATTGGCTGATTATGAATACATTTCTATTTTCGTAGTTGTGCTTTTGAAATTATGATTTTTCTGTATTTGTGATTTACAATTCGTTGTTGTTGTTTTCGCCGTTTGAGTTTTTGTTTTCTTGTTGTTTTCGTCCATGTGGTTTATAATTCTTTGTTGTGATGGAGTTGATATTGGGGACGAAAATAGCAATAAATTGCAAACTATAAAAACTAAAACTGTTTAGAAACTATATATATATATACATATATATATATATGTATATATGTATATATATATATATATATATATATGTGCGTGTATGCATCCGTTTAAAAATTGCAAATTTGTTTTGGTATATATTTTAAGAAGAGTATTTAAACAAGAACTAAATACGTAAATAAGATAATACTGAGACCGAAACAGTAAAAAAAGGATAAAAAGGTAAAACAGTAAAAATTGATTAATTCATATCTTTAAATATAAGGGACCAATACGGTAAAAAAGGTGTCAAGTGTCAACCATGAAGATCGAAACAATAATAAATTGTAAATCATAAAAATAAAAATAACAGAAAACCACAATTTCAAATCCATATTGTAAATCATAAAAATAAAAATAACAGATAAACCACAATTTCAAATCCATAGGAACGAAAGTCACAATTTTTAACAAATCATAAAGGCAAAAACATAAATTACAAATATATATATATATATATATATATATATATATAGGGTTGGGTTCATATGAGACTAAAGGTTTTTCGTGAGATATATATATAGGGAAGGGTTCAAACGAGAACCCTGTGATTTACGAGAATGCGAGAACAACCCAATAACCACATATTGTGATAAAAAATAAAATTAAAAGATTTTTAAAACTAAAATTAAAATTTAAAAAGATTCAGAAAATATTAAAATTAAAAGGGTAATAATGGAAATGATATCATAAAATCTTTTAATACGATTACACGATCATGATTATCATTATCTAATAAACGGTTAATCATGTGATATGAGTGTGATAATCATGTGATTATCACACAATTATTACATTATCGCTTATATCAACACGATTTGGTGTGATTTGGGTGTGATA